CCAACGTGAGGCCGAGTCCCACGTACAGCAACTAGAAGGATGTGAACCTATGACATACAACTATCTACTGGGGCTTTGGGGGGAAAAAACTGAATAAATAAAATCTTTTAAAAAAACAATGAAGAGATTTTGTTGTTTGCTTTTCATAAAGACCTAGGAAGCTTCAGAGAAGAATTAACCTACTGGATCCCTTGGGTGCATTGACTTTGCTGGTCAAGGCTGATATTTCCTCTTCCCTCTTCCCTGTCAGTGACTGTCTGTTTCCTTTTGGTCCCACCAGGCATCATTTCTATCAGATCAGCCTGAGCCCTACCTGCCCTTCCTCTCAAGATTCCTGGAGACCCAGATGTTTGCCTCTTTCATTGACAACAAAATCATGTGTCATGATGATGATGATAAAGACCCTGTGCTACGGGTATTTGATTCCCGAGTAGACAAGATCAGGCTGCTGAATGTTCGGACGCCTACTCTCCGCACGTCCATGTACCAGAAGTGCACCACTGTGGATGAAGCAAGTGAGGCCTCCTTGTTGCTGTACTTTCTCGCTTCTTGGATTATGTCACTCATGTGTCCCTGTTCCTAAACATGCCAGCTTCTTTCCCTGTTTCTGCTTTTGCATAAGTTGTTCACTTTGCCTGAAATGCTCTTCCCTGTCTTTTTTGCTTGGCAGACTTTTCTCATCCTTTAACACTGTCAGTTAGGAATGGGTTCTGCTGTTGGTAGTAGAGATCTAACCAACAGTGGGTTAGACAGATGGGGGTTATTGTTCTCAAAGCAAGAAGTGCACAATTGGTGGTTGCTGGTGTTGGCTCAGCTGCTCAACAATGTAATCAGAAACTGAGATTCTATCTTTTTACTCAGCTATCCTTAGCATATTGACTTTTATATTTATGCTTGTTGCCTCATGGTTGCAAGAGGCTTTTTATGTTCACATTCAGAGCAAGAAGAGGAGAAGGTTGATGCCAGCTGTATTTTCCCTCTCGTTTCAGAAAGCAAAAGCTTTCCCAGAAATTCCCAATAACTTCCATTGTCTCATAGGCCAGAACCATATTCTGTGACCATCCCTAAGTGCAAGTGAGGCTGTGAAAATGAATGTTGAACTGGGTGTAATTTACCCTGAACAGTATCGGGGTTTTATTAGCAAGAAAGAAGGGGCGAATGGGTTATGAGTAAGCGATTGACACTTTGCCACAAAAACTTAACTGTATGTCTCCTCTGTGCAGCCTTCTCTGATGCCCTCAGGCTGGGTCGGTGGATTCCTCCTCTGTGCTCCAGTGGTGCTTGTTCTTGCCTCCCCTCTATAATAATCTCTCTTCTTTTGAGCTGTCATTATCAGGGAACAATTTAAGAGCAGAGACTGTATTTACTCATTTTCTTACCCCCAGTCCTTTAGCATTGTGCCCAGCACGTACAGATGTTAAAAAAAGTTGTTTGCTACATGCATGATTGAAAAGTCCTTTTTATTCAGAGGCCCCATCTAGATGAGTTTAGCTAGAGAATAGTCTCAGCTTTAGGTGTCAGATTAAATGGTGTGTTCACTTCCTTGTGGGATGTTCAGTGTCCTTGTTGTAGCCTTTTTGTATATTTTGTTCATTCATTTATTAAGTATTATGTACCTACTACATGCTCAACATATGGTAAGTGCTTTGGTCCTGGGGAGCTTGATGGGGATTTCTACAAGACTGTAGGTTTAGAGAAACATCTCCCAAGCCATCAGTTTAAATCAGGACTTCCCAGTCCTTTTATGTTGTGCTACACTTGAGAATGACGATATTTGTATGTGGCTCACTGGAATAAACAAGGGAGTCTGCTTATAGCTAGAGGCTCCAGTCAGTTGAGGCCTTACCCACCTGCCATAACGGTTGAGGCAATCAGTTCAGCCTATCTGTAATCCATTTGTTGAACACCAAACACTGCAGCCTACTGATTTGAATTAGAATTACTCTGGCCAGGACATGTGTTCTTATGGGCCTGTTAGAATGTGGGGTTTGGGATATGGAAGGAGGGTTAACTAACTTTCATTTGTATGACTCATTAAGGAAAATGGGTGTCACAGGACTCTTCAGGCAACCCTATGCTCTGCTCTCAGGGATAATGGGAATATCTTTGCCATTGGTATATTATGTAGTCTACCCCAGAGAGATGCACTCGAAATATGCTAAATCAGGGTTCTTGCCTCTGGCCTCAGATTCCTAGCCTAGAGGAGTAGTTCAGCCACCTCACCCCATCCCACATGGACACCTTAGCTTCTTGAACCAGTCTGATTGGAAAATGGTAAAAACATAACTACAGGGGTCTTTTTGGAGATCCTTTAAATTGTTACCTTTAGAAGAGATCTTGATGGCAATCACTTCTATTCACCCAGTAATTTTATAGATAAAGATGTTCCCCTGGCTCACCTTTGGTATCTCCAGGGCCTAGAATAGTGCCTGGCACATTTTAGACACTGAATAAATTCTGTCAAATCAGAGGAAGGGTTGGAGGAAGTGAGGGAGGCCCAAAGAGAAGGCGACTTGACCTAGGATAACAGGACGGCCCAAAGGTTGAGATGTTTTTACATGACTCTAGAAAATACCAAGAGAGTTACCAGTTTTTTTTGTTCCTACTCTTTAAAATTTTTGAGATATAATTGACATATAGTAAACTGCACATATTTAAAGTTTTGGTATATGTATACACTTAAATCAAGAACTAGCAAACATACCCACCACCCTCAAAAGTTTCCTCATGCCCTTTTGTAACATCACCATTCTGTCCCCTCCCACTCTCTCCCCAAATCCCGAGGCAACCACTGCTGTGATTTCTGTTACTATAGGGTTTTCATTATCTAGAATTTTATATAAATGGAATCATACAGTATCTGCTCTTTATTTAGTCTGGCTTCTTTTACTCAGCATAATTATTTGGAGATTTATTCATGATCCTTTTTTTGCTGAGTAATAGTCCATTGTATGGGTATTTCTACAATTTGTTTATCTGTTTACTTATTGGTTGACATTTGGGCTATGAACATCTGTGTACGTATGTTTTCTTTTCCCTTGGATAAATACCTAAGAGTGATTTGTATGTTGACTTTTTAAAGAAACTGCCAAATTGTATTTCACAGTGGTTGTACTTTTTACGTTCCCACTAGCAGTGTATGAGAGTTATAGTTCCTCCACGTTGTTGCCAATATTTAGTATGGTCAGTGTTTTCAATTTAGCCATTCTAATAGGTTTGTAATGGTATTTCATTGTGGTTTTGATTTGCATGTTCCTGATGACTAATGATGTTGAACATTTTTTCTTTTGTTTATTTGGCATCCATTCCTCTTCTTTGGTGAAATGCCTATTTAAATCTTTTGCCCATTTTTTATTGGGTTGTTTGTTTTCTTATTCTGAGTTTCGAAAGTTCTTTATGTAATCTGGATACAAGTCCTTTATCAGATATATGATTTACAAGTATTTCCCCCGCTCTGTGGCTTATCTTTTTGTTCCCTTAACAATGTCTTTTGAAGAACAGAGTTTTAAATTTTGATAAGGCCTAATTTATCAGTTTCTTAAAAATGGATTATGCTTTTGGTGTTGTATCTGAGAAATTTTTGCCTAACCAAGGTCACAGATTTTTTTTCCCCTCTATATTTCCTTCCAGAAGTTTTAGGCTTTATATTTGGGCCTATGATCCATATCAAGTTAATTTTTGTAAGTAGTGAAAGCTAAGGGTCCAGGTTCATTTTTTTCCATATGGATATGCAGTTGTTCCAGCATCATCTGTTGAAAAGACTGCCTTCTCCAAGGAATTGCCTTTTAAGCTTTGCCAAAATATCAGTCATCTATGTACGTGTGAGTGTATTTGTTCTGTTTCATTAATCTATTAAACTACATTTACACCAGTACCACACTGTCTTGATTACTGTAGCTTTATATTAAATCTTGAAGTCAGGGAATGTTAGTCCTCCTTTATTCTTCTTTTTCTAAGTTGTTTTGGCTATTCTAGGTTTTGTATTTCACATATATTTAGAATCAGCTTACTGATTTCCACAAATAACCTTCTGAGATATTGTTTGGGATTGCCTTGAATCTGTAGGTCAATTTTTTTTTTTTTTTTTTTTTTAAATAGATTTTATTTATTTTATTTTTTCCCCCCAAAGCCCCAGTGGATAGTTGTATGTCGTAGCTGCACATCCTTCTAGTTACTGTATGCGGGACTCGGCCTCAGGATGAACGGAGAAGTGGTGCCTCGATGCGCACCCGGGATCCGAACCCGGGCCACCAGCATCGCAGCGCGCGCACTTAACCACCAAGCCACAGGGCCGGCCCTGTAGGTCAATTTAGGGAGAATTGACATCTTAACATTATTGAGTCTTCTGATCCATGAACATGGCATACCTCTCCTTTTATCTAGGTAGTCTTTGATTTCTCTCGACAGTGTTGTGTAGTTTTCAGTGTACAAATTTTGCATATCTTTTGTCAGATTTATCCCTAAGTATTTCATATTTTTGGGTATTATTGTAAATGGTATTTTAAAATTTTAATTTCTGATTGCTCATTGTTAATATATAGAAATATAACAGTTTTGTATATTGATCTGTGTCTTGCAACCACACTAATTTTACTTCTAGTAGCTTTTTGTGCATTCTGTCAGATTTCTGTGTAAATAATCATTGTGCCTGTGAATAATGATCGTTTTACTTTTTCCTTTCCAGTCTGGCTGCCTTCTATGTCTTTTTCTTGCCTTATTGCACTGGCTAGAACCTTTACTACAATGTCAAATAGAAATGGTGAGAGTGGACATCCTTATCTTATTCCTGATTTTAGGGGGAAAGCATTCACCATTAAGGATGATGTTAGCTGTAGGTTTTTTGTGGATACCTCTTATCGGTTAAGGGTGTTTGTTTCTGTTACTAGTTTGCTGAGAGTTTTATCAAAAGTGGATGTTGTATTTTGTCAATGTTTTTTCTGCATCTATTGAAGTAATTATATAGATTTAGTTTTAGTTTGTTAATATGGTGAATTACATTGATTTTTGAATGTTTAAACCAACCTTGCATTTCTTATATAAACTTTATTTGGTCATGATGTATTATCCTTTTTGTATATTACTGAATGCACTGTACTAAAATTTTGTTTAGAATTTTTGCATCTTTGTTCATAAGGGATATTGGTTCGTAGTTTTTCTGTGATATCTTGGTCTGATTTAGTATTAGGATAATGTTGGCCTCAAAGAATAAGTTGGGAAGTATTCTCTCCTCTTCCATTTCCCAGAAGAGCTTGTGTAAGTGATATTTCTTCTTTAGCTGTTTGGCAGAATTCATTAGTGAAGCAGTCTGGGCCTGGAGTGTTTTTTTTCTGTGGGAAGGTTTTAAACTACAGATTCAATTTTAAAAATAGATATAGGGCTATTCACGTTATCTGTTTCTTCTTGAGTGAGCTTTGGCACTTTGTGTCTTTCAAGGAGTTTGTCCATTTCACTTCTTGTCAAATTCGTTGGCATTAAGTTATTCCTAATATTCCCTCATTAATATTTGTAGAATCTGTAGCAATGTTACTTCTCTTATTCCTGATATTGGTAGTTTGTGTCTTTTCTTTTTTATCCAGATCAGTCTGATTAGAAGTTTATTAGTTTTACTGATCTTCTGAAAGAACCAGGTTTTGGATTTATTCATTTTCTCTATTTTCTTTGTTTTTTTTTTTTT